CTCCCATCACTTCCCAGTCACTCTTATATAATTAACAGGAACAAAAAATAGACAATGTGTGTCAGATCAAAGGCCCCTATTGCCCAGTAACCTGTCACTGCCAGGGGGCAATAGCAGACATGTAACAACCAGGAAAGCACACAGAAACTATACCGGAAGGTGATGCTATTTCTTATTTACTGGTTGCATTTGATTCTTCTGTTATGAATTTGTCCAAATACTTTTCAAACCCACTTAAACTTTTTGGTATTTAGAACATTCTGTGTTAGTAAGTCCCAAAGTTTAATTCGAGCTGACTTGCTATTGCAGCAGGAAGTTCAACCCTTGATGTTACTTGAGATGTTTAATGAATGAAGCCTAGTTTTTGTCCATCCAAAGCTTTCAGAAGAGGACACTCCAGCAGATGTCTTAACAACAGAAGACTACAACATCAGTCTAACATGACCTACTTTTGGCGGTATCATGTCACACATTTTTTTCATAGATCTGTTGATAGTATGTTTTTCCATCAAAATTTGCTTTAGGAACTTGTATAGTATTGAGACTTGTGCTAAAGAAGGCGACTGGCATGGGGCTATGAGGAGCACTGAAAATTATGTCCATCATGCCGGTGGCTGTTTCCCTCTCAGAGGATCACCCTGATTGGGTAGGTCTGTGAAAACCAGGAACAGAGCCTGAATTTCATATACCTTTATCCAGGACTCCAGCCCAGAGACTGGCTCAAGCCAGCAGGGTCAGCTAAGCAGGGTTCTCTTCCACCTTGCCAACAATGACAGATGCTTATAAACCACACTCCCCCATCACCCATTTTGCCGTTGCTCTTGTATCTCCCTCACTGAAATCTAACGCAAAACAAATATTTAATCCTGGAACCACATTTATACTAATTTTCATTTCTATCCTACTGACTTGTATGTACATGCAAAAGAACCTTTTACTTCACATGCTTTGCGATTTACAGCTAAGCTTGAACAGTTGGCAAACTCTCCCTGTTCCTACATTTCCTGATATATCAGGATTTTTTCCATCCCCTGAAGACTTTTTGCTTATTCCCAAAAGCCTTTCTGAAACAGTTATTTGTCCAAATAAATACTGAGCCCTTCCTATATATTCTCTTCTTGCTTGCTTGGGCTATTGATTTTGTTTAGGCAGGAAAACCTTAGGTTTCTATCAGGCTCCAAAGCCCCTCCAGATTTACACCCCGGAGCTACCCTGCCCAAGGACTCCCCTGAACATTGGATTTTCGAATGTGAGAGCTGGAGGCTGTCCTGGTTACTACAATGGCAGCAACTCTCGGCCACCTCCAGGAAGGACTTGGCTACAGCACTCGTGTGCCATTTTAAACACCTTTCCCTACTGATATGCCACAATTTTATTACAAAGCCTATCCATCAAGCCCACAAACCAGAGCTACTCATTCGATTTTGCTCATTCTTCCATTTATTTTAAGCTGAGTCAAAGCATTAGCCTTGCTTGTCTGTTCAACAAGCTCGCTTGCCAAATCCAAACTAGCACTACCTATTACTGGTTGCTGTCATTTTTTTTTTTTTCTAAATCAAATAATGGCATAGCTGTCATATCTATGACTGTCTAAGCCCTTCTGATTAGCAGCAATTTTTCTGCAAGTAGATTTGGTTATTTAAAGTGTCCCATAACAATAAACCCAACTGGAAATTTTATCTTTTTAATATGAAAAATCTTCCTCATAGGGAAACTTGACCCATGAATCCTTAGCAAGTTTCTAGCGCTACCCTAATAGACTTTCTGTAATAAAACGCAACTTTGATTAATTTGAAATTAGCTGAAACCTAAAGTACTGCATTGAGCTTTTCCTGTTTCCCTGTTAAAAGATAAAAACTTACCTTCACCCATGAGAACCCAAAACCTGCTATATTATTTCAAATTTCATTACATGCCACTGAGTAGAAAGCTTGTTTTGCCCTTGTAATTTTGACAACAGCACTACCTAAACTGCAACCGTTCAAGTGGCTTCAAATAAAGACTTAAGACTGAGGAGGGCAGAAGAGATTCAACATGTTTTAAGGCCAATCATTTTTCCAGTATATTATCACATGAGCATTAAAAAAAAAAAAAAAAAACACAACACCATCAAGAGAAGAGATGAGGCAGCACTTATCTGAAGATTATAAGTGAGACTCAGGTCAAATTTGCATCTCACTTCCACTGAGCCTTTTTTTTTTTTTTTTCCTGTTTTCTACTTGCATGCTTGCCAATGAAGTGCAAAAGATTAAAATTTACAGTGATTTTTATTATACCAACTTTTAAATAATGACATCTGTAGTCAGAAGCTTTGTACTTCTATGTTTATTGTCAAACCTAAAACACAGATGCAACAATGTTGTAGTACAACCACTGCAAGCACAAAACACCTATATTTTAAGAGGTTTTCACAGACTGTCCCTCAGTTTCTTTCTTTCCCCAATTTTGCAACAAAAGTAATTGAAATGACCACAGACAAAGCAGGACAGCGCTAGGCTGCCTTCTGCAACAGACTCAACTGGGTACCTGTGTTTTACCATCATGCTCCCTAAATAACTTTAAAAAAAAAAAAAAAAATCTAATCCAGCAAGTTTCCTTTTACCAGAAAAGTAACATCTAGCCCTGTCTGTGTCCCCCCACCCCCCACCGATATTAAAGAGGTATACAAAAAAAGTCTTACCCAGCAGGATGAGTCTATGGCTTAAAAAAATTCAATAATTTAAATTTAATTTTAGATCTACAAGTGCTGCCAAGCACCACTTTATTTGTCAACAAAACATTTTGATTATTTGGCAGAACAAAGCAAGCTCCCTCCCTGCTTTCTCCACAGACATATTTGGCACCGGTTAATTTATATGTCTTTAGACATATGTCAAGTCTGAAGCTGTTTCAGGCTTTAACCCTGCAGAACTTCTCTCTTTTAAGTACTTGTTTCTCTTAAAGCAATAAGAGCAGCAAGTTAAAGCCAAGAAGTGATTCGATCCTGCAATGAAATGGTTAAAAATCAGACTCTGCTGATGTGTGCTTCTCTGATCCATTACATTTCTCCCAAGCTGAGCTAAGAGCTGAGCACCAAGTATCAACTGTAATATGATCCAAGAGTTTATGGAAAAAATAACTGCACATACCAAGCATGCACATTTAATAAGATTGTTTCCATTAAAATATTCGAGAAACATGATTTTTAAGATCTGCTTCTCTCTCTGACCGATTTTTAACGTTTCTCCTCCCCCCTCTCCTAAATACACACCTCCTTTCCAAAAACCAAACCCTTAAAAAAAAAAAAAAAAAAAGAAGAAAGAAAAAAGCAGTCCTACTGCAGGGAAGAGAGGCTTGAAAAACAACTTTGATTGGCACTTGGCCTGACCCACAGAGGAAGAAAAACAGTTTTTGGACAAAGAGCGCAAATATTTGAGCTCATTGACTTACAGGCTTTCTTAGCATTTTCAAGAACCAACCTGGTGCAAAACGTATCGGGAGAGACTGAATTAAAATAAAAGCAAAACCGGCATCACGTTCATCTTGGGCGCTCAGACTCAGTGCATTTGCACAGCTCAGCAATTTTAATTCATTTGCACTGGACAAACAAAAAGCACCTCAACTAATGCTCCCCGTTACGCAGATGTCGAGGGGAGGTGGTGAAGCGATCACACTCCTCCTGGAGCCCAGAGGGTCTGCGCAAGGGAGCGGCTGGTGACTGCAGGGATGGGGTTCAGCAGATTGGGGGGGGGGGGGGGGGGGGTAGGGCTTCTGGGGGGGCTTTTTTGATTATTTTAAAGCTCTGATTTTGGATGCCCCCTGCACAAAGACTTGACGGAGATCGCAGTGGTGAAATGGGCCTGTGAAATATGTGGATAAACTTTCCAAGCGAGGCCGGGCCCCAAATCAATCGTCCCCAGGCCATGGGGGAGGCCAGACGTCCCGCAAGCCCTCGGGGGGGGGGGGGAGGACAGGGGCAGAGCCTAGGGTAAGGGCAAGTGACAACCGTCCCAGGGGGCAGGAGGCGATGAGGGGGTGCGGGACCTGCCACCTCTCTGCAACCCCCGGCACACCTGGGGCCGTGTCCCCTCCGGCCTCCATCCCTCCGCTGCCCCCCCACCCTGCAACCCCCAGGCACTCACCCCCTGGCAGGCCCCATACAAACCCCCCCACACACCCCGTCCCAGTTGCCCCACAGCCCCCACTCCCCTGCCCCGGAGCCCCCTCTGCCCCCCCTCAATCCACCCGCCCCACTGCTGCCCTACGGCCCTTTTCTCCTCACGCGCTGCCCCCGCCCCCCAAGTCTCTGCCCCACCGCCCCGCTCCCCCAATCCCCTTCACAAGTCTCTACCCCACCGCCCTCCCGCAGCCCCCCCCCATCCCCCCCCACACCCCGGTACCTGTCTCGGCACCTTCCGGCAATTGCCGCACACCCGGTACTGCCCGGCGGCGGAGGCGGCGGCAGAGGCGCTGCCCACGGGGCCGGCACCGAGCCGGTTCATGGTGGCGGGGAGCGCGGCGGTGGCCGGGCGGGACGGGACGGGACGGGAGGGACGGGACGGGGGGAGGCGGCGGGGTGGCTCCGCGCCGCTCAGCAGCCCGCGCCGCCGGCCGCCCCCATCCTGCAGCCGCGGCCCCAGCTCCCCGCTCCGGGCCGCTGCCCCCGGCGCACACCCCTGCGCGCTCCGCCAATCCGCGCGGGCCGCCCCGCCCACCGCCTCGGCGCCCGACCAATGGCGGGGGCCGCCCGCCGCCGGCCAATGGACGGAGCTTTCTCCGGTTCCCATCTCCAGGCAGCCTCGGAGCAGGGGCGGGGCAAGAGGCGTGGTCAGCGCCGCGCGCGGGTGGGGAGGGAGGCGGGGCCGGCCGCGTCTCTGGGCAGCCTTGAGGAGAGAGGCGGGGCCGGCGAGTCGGCGCGTGCCTCCTCCCGGCCAATAGGGTGGGCCAACGGGCTCTATGCAAACGAGGCGCAGGAGGCCCCGCCCCCGTCGCGGGGAGGGGGTGAGGGAGAGGCGCGCGCGGGCGGAGGGCCAGCGGTGCCCCGGGGCGCCTCGAGGGGTCCCCGGGGGGCCCGAGTGTGGGGGCGCGGCGCAGGGCGAAAGGGTCACCGGTGCGATAAGGTGCGGGCCTCAGCCTCCCACCCCCACCCCCATCCCCAAAGCCGTGCACCCGTTAGTGGGGGGGGGGGGGTGCTCGCTGCTGCCGGCCGAAGGCGTCTGAGGGGCGGTGTGGGGGGGGAGGGGGGCTGATGTGTGGAGGACGAGCCGCTCTCTGTGAGCGCCCGCTCTGATGTGGCAGTTTGTACATGTAGGGACAAGACTGCTCTGCTGCCAGGCAGAATAGGATTAGGTATTTGCTTTAGGGGAAGTTGGGAACGTTTGGAGCGCGCATGCGAGCGTGTGTTTGCCTCAGGTTGCTGGATTGTTAGAAATGATGAGTCAGGTTTTCTAGACTCCATGCTAATGCACGGAGATGGAGTGTATAATTAGGACAGAGAGAAATCTATAATCTGCAGCCTAGGATAGCTGGGGTATAAACCTCTTTTTTACATCATAGCATCACTGCAGTTTTCCTTGTTTGTGTGCTCTTTAGATTTTAAATATGCATATATGAGCTTTAACAGGAGTAGTCACGCCAACATCAATAAAAGTTTGTTTATTAAATGTTGAATGCTACATAATTCCTATTTTGAAAGATGATGGTATAGAAGGATTTGATTTTGTTATGGAAACAGAATGCTATAACCCGATGAAATTTCTAAGAAGATTTGGGGTGTTACATACATTGTTTTCAAGGCTTCTCCCAGCAAAACGATTGTAACTCAGCTGCTTGACAACTGTGATCTGCTTTGTATGGGAATACTTTCTATTTTTGCAAAATGAAGCCTTGTGTAATTTAGTCAACCAGCTGGCTAAAAAGGACACAATGCAATTAGTAATTTACATATCTTAAAGGAGACTGATTGAACCTAGATCTGACTGTCTTTGAGAACTACTGAAAAATTTCTCAGATCAGACTTTGCCACTGTAAGTAAAGACCCATCCAGAGCAACACCCTCTTCCATCCTTCCCCTTCCATCCGTTTCCAAAGGGATATTTTCCTTAGACAGAGCAGCCTTCAGCAGATGGGCACTCAGTGGACTCCTCTATTGCCAGTCAGTTCAGTGTGGAATGCATCCAAATGTTATAGTCACAGGCAGCCATACAAAATACTTGGAGAGGAATAAATGGAAGAGGGTTTTTTTTTTGTGTGTGTTTTTTTTTTTTTTTTTTTTTTTTTTTTTTCCCTAGCAGTGTAGCTGTGGAAATGCCATCCTAACATGAGAAAACAGTTTGCTTGAGTGCAGGTACTTGCTTTGCCCTGTCCAAATCCCACATGCTGCAGCATGGTACAATTAAAACAAGTGACAAAGGGAAGCCAAACAGATTAGTTTTCATCATCTAATCCGAATGTAATGTTAAAATGTACATAAACAACATGAATGATGTAAATAGCTTATTATTTCTTGCTGAATTGCATGATAACGTTACCTGAAATTAGAAGTTTTAAAAGAAGATCAGGGTTGTTATAGCCACAAGCAATGGAGAGTTGACTCAGCTCAAGCAAGATCACTTTTGAGTCATTTGCTGTCAAAGTTCCTGCTTCAAAACTCAAACCCATTGGCAAGTATGGTAGCAGACAAGTTTGAAACACAGATAGAATGCTTTTGACTAGAGTTAATATTTAACATTGGAACGTTGGCAAATATTCAGATTTCAATAACAACATGCATTCATTTATTATATTTTCACAGTGGCAAGTACGCATGACTGGACATCTTCAGAAATGTGGCTGGGTCCCATTCATCTGCATTAAAATTACTTCCACCTTGAGTGACAACTTCAGACCTTTGGCAAAGCCCAATAAAACTGGAAAAAATTTCCGTTAGGCTGGCTTGTAAGGCAGTTTAAAATTTGAGAAATTTGATACCTAGTCTCTGTTCTGCCACAGACTTCTTGTGAAAGGGGACGAGACATGTATGTCCAGATGCTTGAAGTATTTGATTGACTAGCCCTCACTTAAACTATGAGCACTTAAGCACCTTTGTGGCTCCTAGTCTTGCCTTTCAGTACTTTAGTATCTGAGAAAGGTCAGGAGAAGCATAAACTTTTAAAGTGTTTCATTGTTTTTGGAAACAGCACAGTAAATGGAAGTTGCCTAAAATCCTTTCTTGCACCCAGCAAAAACTCTTGGATATCTTTTCTGAAGTTCATTTTTTCATCTGCATTTTCTTTTTATATAGAGTTCTAATGCCTAATAGAGATCAGAAGTGTACCTAACTGGCCCAAGTGCAGTACTTATTCAATATCAGTATTAGATAATTAGTGTATAGATTAGAGGCAATATCAGAATTTTCAAAACACCTCAGTTCTGTCTAGATGCAGTGTTTGGATATGAACTGTTGTGATTCCTGTGGCACTGATCCTGTAAAACACCGTGTATGTACTCAGCCTACGCCACCTGCAGAGTCTTACTGCCTGCAAAGACTTGTGCATGTGTGCCTGATTTTAAGCTCTTGTCTTGTTCCATTTTGAGTTAAATGTGTACGAGTTCTGCGGAGTAAAAGCCTCTCTTTGTACAAGCTGGCTTCTTGGTGAACATATCCACATTCTTGCAAGTTCTCCTTGTAAACTTACTTCTTAAAAGAAAGTATTGCAAAAAATAATTAGTGCTCCCTTCACAATTGTCTGACAGTTTTTATGCTCCAACCTATACCTCTCTTGCCATCCACTGCTGCGGATTTCCTTCAGTTTTTGCCCAGTTACTGAATTGTAAAGGAGAGGAGAATCCTGAAATTAAGTGGTAATTGAATTACAAGTAGCCTGGCATCTTGACCTGCCTGGAAATTTTAAGAAGGTCATCAGTTCTATAAACTCAACCAGTCCTCTCTGCTGAGGTCACTTAGAGAGGTTGTAAGTTATTGCCATGTGTGGGAAAGGTGGAGATATTTTTTTTCTTGGTGATACGGAACATACTGGCTTGAGACCATCTCATCCTTTCAGAGAGATTACTGACCTGCAGAGATAGAGTTGCACAAGTGGTTACAGATTTAAACAGATTTTTTATCATCAATGATCATAACTTTTGCAAAGTTTAAAAAACAAACATGGGGGTGAAACAACAGGGCAGGAGCAAACTTAGAAAGGAAGTAGGGATTTCTCTGCCTCCTGAAATCATGAGATGCATTTTTGGCAGACACATTGCAGCCAGGTGCGGACTGTTGCCCTCGCAGCAGGACTGAATGAGATGTGATGGCCTTTGCCAGGAGGTCAAAGTTCTCCTAATGCCTTATGCAGCCTTTACACTAACATGGTTCAAATGGATCAGCTAAGAGACATCCAAACATTGAGCTGCTTTCATCCCCCAGAATGAGCATTTATACTAGTGTTTAACAGTGTGATACCAGCTTTGAACTCCTGCTGTGTCTGCAATATTTCTGCCTGGAATTTCCTGAAGAGAAGGTTGAGAGCTGGACCCAATGCATCTCCATTGCCTTCCAGAAAGAATCACACCCAGCAACCATCCACTGTACAACCAATCTGTGAGACAGCACAGAGCAATAAGCATCTTCTTACAGCAAGAGCAATAAGAAGATGCTCTGCAGATCAGTTGTACAAAATTGACCATGCTGTGTGTCCTGGAAAAGTCATCTTAGCTGCACTGTGCTGTGCAGGTGCTGTGGGAGTGCTTGGGAAGTCCACACAATGCTTCCCCAAGATGTGCACCTACTGTACAAGTGTGCAGTCCTTTTGTTGTTCAGACATTGATGCAGCAGCTTGATGCTTCCTGAAAAGGTTGGATTGACAAAATCAAGTGCTGTAAAATTGAACTTGTTATGCAGTGAATATATTTGTGATTCACAGACCTCCAGTAGCTTGAAGAGAGAGGAAGGGAGGGGGCAGCTGCCGTGCAATAGCTCTGACTGGATTGCTGCAAGACTAGAAATCCCACATGAAAATTAAAAGACCCTCAAGTTTTGCCCAGGAGCAGGAAAAGAGAGCATGCCTGAGCACCCAGCTCTGGAGCCTTACACACTCTCCCCATCTGACTGCCGTGATAAAGTGCTGGGCATGTGGTTAGACAAGGTGATTGACACATGTCACATGCCTCACATTTCATGAGTCCATGAATCATTCACTAAAGCCATACTGAACATGGATACATAGCAAAATAGATGTGGTTTCTCCTGGCCAAAAATCCAGCCCATTTTGCCATTATGACAAACGTGTGATAGCCCTGCCTTCATTATCATAATTTTTGTTGCACTGTTTTAGTATCATTTGCACAGAATTTATATTATGTTTAGGGGAAGGAAGGGCAGCAGATAAAGTTTGTGCCCTGAATGATGTTATGCACACTTCAACACTACAAAATTATTTCCCATCCTTATGATTACACATTCTAATTTGCAAAATGAGTGTTCAGATAATTGCACGAGGCAGGGAGATGTGATGGTTTGTGGAATTCTTCCTCGAGGGTGGGGGTACACACCTTTTAATTTGTGGCGTTTAAACCCTGACTAGATAAAGCACTCAGAATTGTGTTTATTGTAAGAAACAATTATGGCCCAGCCCAGGATAGTGAGCTCGCTGACCTAATAGGCCTTTTTAATATCTAATTTCTTTGACAGTTAAATAATTCTAAAAAGCATTAAATCACTACCCAAATAAGAAACCTCTTCTCTCCTTATGTTCTTCTGTGGTTCGCATGATAATTCGCTAAATATATTTCAACATGTTGTTTACTTCAGTTTAGCCTTCTGAGACCACACTGGCCTGTAAATAGGGATCATCTGGAAACAAATAGGTTATGCTTTGAATTAACTTTGGAAGTATTTTGGCCAGTACAATTTTTGGGAGTGATACAGCAGGAAAATGCATTAATTGGAAAAAATCTGAAAGGCAGGACAGGATTAGCCTGGTCTTACTCCCTGCAAAAAGAGGATTGCAAGTAATCCCTTGCAATGTATTTGTATCAATATTGAAGATGAAGTCCTACTGAGCAGATTTAATGACAGCAGCAGAACTATCCTTGGTGACAGAAATGGCTCTCCCCTCCAGGACTGGAGGCAGAGTTCACGGGGTGGACACGGATGCCTGGGGTCACACACATGGAGCAGGGACAACTCTGGAGCTCAGCACTGGCCGCGCAACTGCCATGTGAGGCAACAGCCACGGCACTGGGAAGGATGCACCAGAAGTTTCATCCCTCTCCTAAGCATGGGATCATCAGCCTGCATCAAAGCTGCAGTTATGACATCTCTGTGAGATGTAGGTGTCCCCCAGTGCCGTGGGCCTGGGTCCAGGTGTCAGGATTTCCTCCAGAAGACAGAGAAATTCTGCTGGCCTTTGTCTGGGAAGTGGGAGCTCCTGCCTCAGCTCCCAGCTATATTGCACATTGCTGGAGAGTACAACCTAACCATGACACCGTAGGTCAGGCTGGGTAAAAACATCTCGAGCCCTCCTTTTGCAGCCAGGATACCATGAGGCAAAGAGTTCAAAGGCCAAGGTGCCAAAAGAAGGCAAGTAGGAGGCAGCTGGCTCAGATATCTGCTGGCTTGAGAGGTGAACTGTAACCCAGGGTTTTCCTGCCTGTTTCCTTCCACTGCTTTGGCTCAGTTCTGTGCCCAGCCAGTGTGAAGTGCACAAATGTCTTTGGCTGAAAAAATCTAAAATTTCTCAAGCAGCAGAACTTGTCTGTTCATATTTTGCAAATGAAACACATGGTACGGCATGATGCCACATTAAGGATGGAGCTGATCAGTGAAATTAGCTTCCTGTATTCACTGGCAATGTTGACTTTCATTATTTTCAAATAGAAAATACAAATATAAAAAACAAATACAAAACTCAGCAGCTTTTGGGATATGGCACATAATTTAAGTCCACTTCTCACTGAAGGCCCTGTGATATGAACATAAGTATGTTAGAAGATCAGACTGAATTATGACAGTTTTATTCTTTGTTTCTAGACAAAGAAGAGCTGAAGTGCTGAAAGACTTGCATTTGTTATGAACTTGGCTTATTTTGATTTAAAAATGTTTCTACCCTGTTTCATTATTTTTCTGACAGTTACACCCTGAAAAAACAGAGTGTCAGTGCAAGCAGGATTTTCTCAGAAGGTACCACACTTAGAAGGAAATAGGCATGTGAGTGAAGGCAGTTAGCACATGGGATCTTCCCCAGCAAAATCAGCTAAGTGCTGAAGGCTTGTTTGAATGGTGTGTTTCTTCTTTCATCGATCACCATCCGGATACCAGGGACATCCTTGGACAGGAGAGGTCCCAGATTTTGAGATTCAGCCTTAAAGAAAGACCCCTGGAGGAGAGCTGGCTGACTGAACCAGCAGCACAGCATGCCTGTGCTGAGCCACACAACCTGCTAACCTTGGCACTTCTGCCTCCTTCCCTCGCACACAGCCAGGCAGTGCCCACCGGGATATACCAAAACAGCAAGCAGGATGGGCCCAGCCATCTGGCACTGAAGAGCAAGAGAAAAGAAACAGCAGCTTCCCTGGACCAACATCAGCCAACTCCTTGCTGCTCTCATCTCCTCTAGCCTGCCTGTCTGCCTGCCGCCTGATGGAAATGCAGGACTCCTACATGTAGATTTTCCTTTGAAGACTCTCTGACCTATTTCAGCCTGGCTTTGCAGTCGGCATGAGTTCTATTTATAATGTCAGGAGAGGGGAAAGGGAGGGTCAGGCTGGAAGGGAATAAAAGAGTGTAAGCAATGCACCTTGCTCTGCTGGTGAAGTCCTGGCAGTCACAGCTTCAGTGCTGGAGCCTCCGAGCTGGAAATGGCAGAACCCGACTCCTGCTTGGGCAAATAAATGAATAATAACAGGGGTCATTGCATCTTGCTCTGCTAACTTCCAGATCCGTCAGGTAAAACTGAACCTCAGGCACACAGACCTGACTATTTACTATCACCACTGAAGCATTTATATTGATGAAGATTCAGGAGAACGCTGGACAGCAGAATCGGAAATTACTGTTTTATAGGCAGAGTGATGCCTTTGTACAGCACAAGAGCATGATCTGAGATGGAAAACATAGAAGGATTGTATTTCTACAGCAAGGCCATGTCTTAAGAATTTTATTTGTTCTCATTTCTATTACTATGTCCTTTTACAGGGAGAAATAACTTCTTTTAGTCACGTTATATTGCTCTTGAAACGTAACCTTCCTCTAGCTGGGCTCTATAAATCACTGGAAATCATGGATTTTCTTATAAACAGACTACAGATCAGCTTAATTTTTCAGTTATTTCACTCCCTCACTTCAGAAACAGTATAGGCCAAATTCTTCCCTGGCATAACTCAAGTCCTGGTACTCCTGTTCTGGGAATGCTGGGCCAAATTCCCACTCCCTGTTTTGTTGATACATGTTCAGAGCCACTCTGCTGTAATCACTGGAGTCACATGTCATTAACACTAATGTACTGCTGAGCAGAATGTAGCCCTCTCTATAAATATCACTTTGGTCAAGGGAAGCAAGGAAAATAATGCTAAATGTGGCCTTAAGAATATTACTTACTCTGTTGAAAGATCATTCGCTCTTGGCTTAACTTATTTCAGGCATGGCAGTCTGGGAAAGAAGTTTATCTGTGAGTGAAATGAGACTCAATAAGAGTCAATAAGACCCAATGTATTGTGGTATTAATA